AATTCCATGAGCCTCTGGAACGTGGCAGGCGCGGAATGTAAACCCATGGGCAATCGGTTGAACTCAAATAGGCCTCCCGGTGTCCGGAAAGCGGTTTTAGGTTTTGATTCGTCATCGAGGGGCAATTGCCAAAATCCCGAAAGCAAATCGAGCGTCGAAAAAAACTGTGCTCCTGCCAAGGCATCCAGCGACTCATCCATCCTGGGGAGCGGATACGCATCGGCCATTGATATTTTGTTTAGGCGGCGGAAATCAACACAGAACCGCAGGGATCCATCCTGTTTTTTAACCAAGACGATAGGAGCACCCCACGGACTGGAAGAGGGCGCAATGATGTCGGCCGCCAACATGTCATTTACTGCCGACTGCACATGCTCCTTCTCGGCTGGACTGAGCCGGAAGGGATTCTGTCGAATAGGGGCCGCGTCCCCAGTCTCTATGTGGTGGCGCAACAGGTCTGTGCAGCCAATGTCGTACTTGTGCCTGCTAAACACGTCAGCGAACTCGAGCAGCAAGCCCCTCAATGCACCCAACTGCACACTGGACAAGGTACTGGACCCGGCACACAACGCGTCCAACCACTCCGTCCCCTCCTCACTTTGGGGATGCGTATCGACATGTGAATCGGCGTGAGCAACGAGCTGTTCCTCGACGGGTAGCGGCGCGGCGTGAGCGAGCACCGTTCCCTGCGTAATCACGGCCGGCCGCGACCCCGTATTCAAGACCACAACGAACGGCTCACTGTCCCCCCTCACCATGGTCTGGGCCACCGCTAAGCCGAGGTCCCCTTTAGCCCTGTTAGACGGCCCCAATAGAACTCCCTGCGCCCCCGCATCCGCCCCCAGGGGTTTTCTCAACCGAAGGGGTACCAACATTTGCGATCCCGTGGGCACCCGTACAGTCCGGGTTGCCAGCGCCTGCACCGTCGCACAAGCCGTGCGTATCTTATTTGGACTCTTCAAAAACTCAACCCGCCGACCCGACGGAAGCTCAATGCAGGCCTGGTCTATGAGAATTTTTATGGGCATTTTAGACAGAAAGTCCGTGCCTAGTAAACAAGGAACGGCCAACGATGATGATACAAAAATAGGACCCGCTAATTTAATGTCGCCAATACAAATATTCGCCCGAATCTGGCCGATGATTCCCAAGGATCCCCCGTTTGCCGCGTAAAATGGTACGTCCACTGGCAGAAGTGGTCGACATTGTACGGGAAGAATATTATAAATAAGGTCCGAAATAATAGTGGCCGACGCACCCGTGTCCACGAGCACCCGGACCTCAACCCCGTCAATGTACCCCGTTACCACGGACGACCCGGCCGACGCAGCCACAATCCTGTGGGCCAATTCGGACCACTCGACTGCCTTCGGGCCGTACGCGGACCCCTCTCGCCGAACCGAACCCCCGGCGCCCATACACGGTCCCCCCACCGCTAAGCGGCGACCCGAACGTGCCGTGCGTGTGGACCGAGCGTGTGAGGTGCCGCGACTTGCCGGGTTCAGTTGGGATGTCTTGAGTCCCTGGTCGTCGTCCGGACGTGGTCCCGCGGTGCGTTGACGCGGGGCCCGGCACCCGGCCGCGACGTGGCCCCGAAGGCCGCAGTTGTAGCAGACGACGAGGGACGTCGTAGGTTTCGGTTGCTCCAGCTTGCGGGAGGAGCGTGTGGGCGAACGACCTCCCGGTCTCCACTCCCCCGGCCTCGAACCAGCGAAGGCCTCCTCCCGAGGCACAGCAGGCTGAGGTCCGATGATCGTGGCGGCCGGTGCCCCGTTCTCCACCGATGCGCAGACGACCGTCGGCTTCCGCTGTAGGACCTCGTAAGCGTGGATACTCGTGGCAATCCCCAGGGAGCAGATGTCCATCTCGTCCGCCGTATTAATGGGAACTCCCAATCCGTGAGCCAGCGCCAGCAGCTGCTCCGTCACCATGGCGTCCTTCCCCTCCTTGTCCATGCGGGGAAAAGCTGAATCCGCCAGGGCGAGCAGCGCCGTGCGATAGGCGAGCGTTGTTTCTCCAACCACCTTCCGCCGATCGTAGAACTGGTGGCGACAGGTCGAGGGCGGCCCGAACACCTTGGCCAACAGGTGCAGCGCGGCCTGGAGCGTTGAGCGGGACGACCTCGGGGCAGACGTGAAGGCCGCAAGCGCGTCGTCGTCGAGCATCGCTGGCAGCGCGCGCAGGGCCGTGGTGTCGGACCACCCCGACATTTCTTGATGCGCGATGAACCGTCGCTGGAAGGCTCCCCAGTCGCCCCCGTCCGCCTTGAACACCGACAGCGCGGGCAATCGTTGCTGGAGAACTCGATCGTCGTCGTCGTCGTTGGAACGATTTTCCCGCGCGCTGCTGTGGTTGTAGAAAATGTCGGCTCCCTCTGCAGGCGCAAAATGGAGAGCTCCGGCGCTCGCCGATGACGCGGGCTGCGCTGTGTGGAGACCTCTGGCCACGTGGTGTCCGCGTTTCCCGCCAACCGGAGGCGGACCCTCAAAAATGGCGCCAACTCCCAAACTTTTGGCGCGAAACGCCTTATGGCGGGAACCCTCCAGCCGCGCCGCCTCTTCCAACCCCGCAGGCGTTCCACCGGCCGCTAGAACGGAGATCTCCGCCAAGATCGCAGCGGCGGCGAGCAGCAACTCCGCCAGGCGGGAGTGTGCGTCCTGCAGGCTGGTGTCGGAGGCGGGCGGAGCATCGGCCATTTCCGCGAAGTGCTGCATCGGCGGCAACTCCTCGTCCTCTCCTCCCGAGGGTGGTGTCACCGGTACGTCGTCGTCTCCCCGGTCTTGCACGTGGGAACGAGAAGTCTTCCTTGTGTCCATTCTCCTTGAAGACAGGTTTACTTCTGACGCCAGTTGTAAAGTAGTAACTCGGCAGGAGACGACTTCACGGGTAGCACACTCTTTATTTTCACCAACTTGTAGTTACACGGATGACTAACACCCTACTTCGTTACACGGGTGACCAACACCCACTTAGCTACACGGGTGACGGACACCCACTCAGCTCCAACTTCGTTACACGGGTGACCAACACCCACTTAGCTACACGGGTGACCAACACCCCCTCAGCTACACGGGTGACCAACACCCACTCAGCTACACTTCGTTACACGGGTGACCAACACCCACTTAGCTACACGGGTGACCAACACCCACTCAGCTACACGGGTGACCAACACCCACTCAGCTACACGGGTGACCAACACCCACTCAGCTACACGGGTGACCAACACCCACTCAGCTACACGGGTGACTAACACCCACTCAGCTGTACTGACACGGGCTCTTACGCCCTGTAGCCTTCCGGGACACACCCAGCCGGGGTGCCCGTCTCGGCTCTGGGTACCACCGTCCCGACCCACACGGGCGTCGGACTACGGTCCCCCCAGTCTCGGCTTCGAGCCACACAGGGCCCCTACCTCCTCCACCCCGTCTTCGGTCTTCAACTGGTTAACACTGACCACGAGTGCTCTCGCGCGTCCCCCTTTATACCCCTCCTGCGGACGTCGCTGAGAGTACTCACTTATCTGACCAATCACTGCGCACTCGCTACGATCCTCTTTTCCCAGCTTGTGTGAGCGCGCCTCACCACCGGCGCGCGCGTCCATGCCACGCCCACATCGCGTGCCCAACCCCGCGCCCCGTGATCCATCACTGCCGGCGCACGTCAATACCACCACTACAAAGGCACCACGGGGTGACCAGCCCCTTCCCCACCCTCCCCCACCCAGCCCCTCCCATCCCCTCCCCACCCTCCCCTCTCCACCCAGCCCCACCCCTCCCATTTTTGGATTCACGACGGATGGATGGATGGACACAATAATCCCCTGCGGGCTGGTGGAACCAGGTGCTTCCTACCAGTACAACCCTATATGAACGATACCTGAGGGTGAATTCGGACTCTGTGCAGACTTGATGTGTACAGGGCCCAGGGCCAACAGGAGAGTGAGTGGGGTGACGAGGGAGAGGAAGAAGCTGATGACGAAGTTTCACCCCGTATCGAGGTGGAACTGAGCCCAGGTAGAACCACCATGGGGATGTAGCTCAGTCGTAGAGTGCACGCTTCGCATGTGTGAGGCCCCGGGGTCAATCCCCGGCATCTCCACGAGGTGATATTTTTCCAGTGGACAATTTTACTCGAAGGAATATGCGTGGCTTGTTTTCATTCGTTATGGTTGCTGAGCACAGATCCAGAAGACCAACATGTCAGCAATGAACATCACTACAATCAAAGTTGTAGTCGATAAGAGTTAACATATTTATGGCATTCATATTCTCACGTAGAAGGGAAATAATAAAAACATAAAAAATAAAATTATCACGACGTTTCGACTGCAACACAAGCAATCATCATCAAGTGTGAAATCAAAATATTTATGGAAATGATCAAGATAATTAGATTTGAAACCGTAGGATGGACTTCCAAATTTGAGCAGTGCGTGGAGGAAGCTGAGAGAAAAGTGTTGTGACCTGCCGAGTGGTGGTCGAACGGATTGGGTGAGAAGAAAATCAGTTTGGAGTCCTCATCGCTGAAGGATAACTCAACGAGTGGAATTATACAGGTAGGAACAACAGTTTCACACTGCCCACCAGGGATTATTTGTCTGGCGTGCATCGCCCCTCCCAAACATGTATGTTCAGGGATTGGTTGAAGTGCATCACGTGACCGCGAGCTTTCTGTCGTGCACGAATGTGCTGTCCAACCAAGTTCCTACCTGCCCACTCCGAAGGAACGTGTTTTCCATGTTTGGCCATATTCTCTCTGTGGAGTGTGTTGCCCCCTATTCTGGAAGGGTGCTGCACCTTTCTCCCTGTAACTGATCCACACAAGCAATGCAAATCGCCTAATTTGGATCAAAAACAGTAGCAACTTCATTCCCTACTGCGAGCAACCTTGGCAGGACCCTCCTGAAAAAAGTCTTGAGACTTAGGGAGGCTCGTCCTGAGTAAAACAAGCATCAATATAAATAAATAACCACACATAGGACATGCATAGTGATTTACCGTGGCTCAGTGGCTCCAGAGTTTGCATTCTCTTCTTGGAAGCCCTCTTCTCCAAAGCTCGGAGCAATTGGGCCCTGCACAAGAGTGGCGGAGGTGGTGGCAGTGGCGGAGGTGGCGGCGGCGGTGGTGGTGGTGCTGGTGGTGCTGCCGGCAGGGCTGCTGGTGGTAGTTGTCCGGAGCCACTGTTGCTTCATCTTGGCGAGGCGCTGCTCCTCCACAAGGCGCTTTTGCTCCACAAGGTGCTTTTCCTCCACGACGTGCTTTTCCACCATGAAGCGCTCCTCGTCCTCTTGAAGTTTCACCTCAACAAGGCGCGTCTTCTCCATGAGGCGCTTCTCCTCCTCGACCCGCTTCGTGTTGGCAAAGTGCTTTACCTCGGTGAGGTAATTTACCTGGTGAAACGCTTTTCCTCCTCCTCCAGATGCTTCTCCTTGAGACGCTTCACCTTACGAAGGCGTTTCTCCTCCATGAAGCTGGTCTCCTCAATGAGGCGCTTTTCCATCAGGCGTTTCACATTATTGAGGAGATTGTCTCTGAGGCACTTCTGCTGTGTGAGGTGTTTCACCCTGGCGAGGCGCTTCACTTCAATGAGGCGCTTCTCTTCAGTGATGTGCTCCACCTCCTTGAGACACTTCTCCTCCTGGAGACGCTTCACCTCTCCAAGGTACTTCACCCTGGCAAGACGCTTCTCCTCCTCCCGATGCTTCTCCTCGAGACACTTCACCTTGTGAAGACGCTTCTCATCCCTGAAGCACTTTACTTCAATGAGGTGCTTTTCAATGAGGCGGTTCTTGAGTAGATTGTCTCTGGGGCACTTCTCCTCTGTGTGCCACTTCACCCTGGCAAGGCGCTGCACCTCAATGAGGTGCTCCTTTTCCATGGTGCATTTCTCCTTCACAAGGTGCTTCTCCTGGAGACGCTTCACTCCGCTGAAGTGCTTCAACTCCCCAATGCTCCTCTGTTCGAGCAAAGATGAGCAAAGAAACATTCAGACATGCACATGCAAGCAAAAATTCATACCCACAGGCACGTAAACATGGACGTGCTCATAAACCCAAACACAAATGCACTCACAAATCTATGTACGGATGCAAAAACTACATTTACTCATGCAAACTTGCTTAGCACATACATGAATATACACAATCACCTGATGTTAACATAACTCCTTATCCATCAATACTTTTATCACATTGTAAGTGCCCTAGCCCCTAAATAACCCAAACCCTATCAAAATACATGTTACATGCTCATATACCCTCACAAACCCCATACACGTACTTAAGGCTGTGATTGACTGTGACGATTTCATGACAATTTTTTGGCAACAATCATCACAGGCAATAGTTTCCACAGAATATTCCATTGTAAAGATCTGGATGCCCATAATCTGGACAAATATCACTGCTGCACCCATAGTGGGCAACTGGAATGGCACAGACAATTCATGTTACTTCCTGATGTCATTGTGTCTTCATTGGTAATAAATGGCTACTTCAAGAGCCTTCACATGTTTGATATGGCATGACGTTATGGGGGAGAGATGGGGTGATGGTGTTGAGAGATCGTGTTGTGATATGGAGAGCGGAAGTGGTGGAATGTTCTGGAGAGACGGTGTTATGTGATGGTATAGAGGCATGATGAGGCTCTATGATCGTGTATTGAGTTGGTGGTCGTGTGGTGTGATGAGAAAGGTGACATGGAGAGATAGTGTGGTGATGTGAGGTGTAGTGATAGTTTGGTGTGATGGTGTGGTGACATGGTGCGCTAGTATGGAGATAATGTGGTGTGTTTGACCCCCACAGACCCCATACACACCTTTGGGGAGCAATTCTCATAACTTTGTCCTGGGAAAGGGTCCACTTTATCCATAATGTCTCCCCACGTGGTCGACTGGCGCCACGACTCCCGGGCTACAGAAAAAATAAAATTAATTCAAAGGACGAGTAATAAATTAAAGAACGAAGCACATGGAGTTTCACAGAACTAATTCTGAGATCCCTGTAATTACCTCTTACCACACAACAGGAGCTGCTATTGAGAAATATTCATCACGTGGCAGTATTTTGTGAGCATGGATAGACCATCAATTCCATAAACTTGAGACCCCAGTTTAAGCAATGATGGCTGAAACTCAGATCTAAACCCACGTTCTCTGCCACACTCGATCATTACATCTTCCCATCACTACCAATCCATGTCTATTAAAAGTAATTGATTAGGGAGCCTCCTCCTCTGCATGTAAGCCACGTGATGCAGGTATCTGGGACTTACCCTCATAATCCTCCAAGATCTCAGCCCACTTGAGTTGTCTGTCCATGGTGTTGGGAAGGAGAAATTTCTGTTTGATGTTGGAGGGCCTGGGGAGGTTGGAACAATGCTCAGATTTGTCAACCTTTTTAATCACTCATCCTCTCAATTATTACATATTCGACCACGCACTGTACCATCTACTCACTTTCGTGCCTGTTGCTTTACAGTCCACTCACTCGCTTGTTTACCCACTCACACGTATGCATCCGATCACTCTTTCATCCACCGACGCGAACATATTTATTCCAACTGACTATTGCATTAAACATAATCGCCAGACTCAACCATGATATTTAACTACTAATCCCGACAAGCATGTTCATGTACAGCCCATTTTTATTCATCGACTGCTTCAAGACGGCCCCCCTATGCCTTGTAGGTTCTTAGGTAATATGACCAAACTTAAATTATTTGTTATAACCAGAACATGACGTCGTAGGTCACTTGATGTCAGAGATACCACCCATGTGGCTGTGACATGCCAGATTGGAGACAACTATGGCAGCAGCTAGGGCCTGAACTTAAATGCAGACTCCTTCTCAATGTTAAACACAATTCAATTAATATCCATACTCTTTGGTTTTTTCGGTAAAGTCACGTAGTTAGAAATTAAATAAAACAAATCACAATGTTTCAATCGCAACACAAGCAATCGTCATCAGGTGGGACAACTACAGCAAGAAACAACCGCTGAAGAAGGCGAGAGAGCTGCCGTGGCACGAGGTTATATAGACTATATAAGTAGGGTACATTGGCGGGGCTTGAGATGGGAGGGGGGGCAGAGTAAGATCTGCGGGGTGATGGGAGAGCTAGGGGGAGAGAGAGGTGGGGGGTTGCCAATGCAGCAACAATGCCAATGAAGCAACAATGCCAATGCAGCAGCAATGCCAAACGCTGGGGATGCAGGGGGATCTGCCTTGTGTTCGCGAACACAGTCCAAGACATGTCGTTTTGTTTCCCCAATGTAACAGCTACAAAATCTTAAACAAACACAAGATCCAGGTCCGATTCAATACAGTACACACAATCCGTGATCTATTCCCATCGGTGAAGGAGGTAATTCCTAACATGCAATATCCTGGAGTCTACAAACTGAGTTGTACCTGTGGTAGCAGTTCCATTGGGGAAACGAAACATGTCTCGGACCGTGTTCGCGAACACAAGGCAGATCTGAAACACGGCAGAACCAATACCTTTGCCGTGGCTGACCATTGTTATAATGCTGTGGGCTCGCATGATATTATATTTTCTGAGACCAAGGTACTCTGGAAACCTTCGGGCAACTATCAAAGGTTTGTTGATGAAGCCATCTAGATATATAAACATAGACATAACTTCAACCGAGAAGATGTATACAAATTGAGCAATCATTGGAAGGATGTTATTAACCAGGTAAAACCTTAACTGTTTATGGTGGTTCCATCATATTTGCCGGGTGCTGGTCTGTTTTTCTGAGTTAATTTCCCCTCGCATCCCCAGCGTTTGGCATTGTTGCTGCAATGGCATTGTTGCTGCAATGGCATTGTTGCTGCAATGGCATTGTTGCTGCATTGGCAACCCCCCACACCTCTCTCCCCCTAGCTTTCCCGTCACCTCCGCAGATCTTACTCTGCCCCTCACCCATCTCTAGCCCTGCCCATGTACCCTACATATATAGTCTATATAACCTCGTGCCACGGCAGCTCTCTCGCCTTCATCAGCAGTTGTTTATTGCTGTAGTTGTCCCACCTGATGACGATTGCTTGTGTTGCGATCGAAACATCGTGATTTGTTTTATTTTATTTCTAACTACGTTACTTCACTGAAAGAACCAAAGAGTCTGGATTCCTGCAGTCACGAAAGCTTCCAATCAGGATTCAATTCATGTCATCTCGAGCACAATTGTGCCAGCAATCAGAACACAATGACTGTAGACGTGTTATTCATATTCTGTTAAATTTAAACAGGCTAGTTATGAACATTTTAAATGCTGACTGGATTGGGCTCTAAACAATGACAGAAAAAGGGATTTCGATTTAAAACTTTCGTGACTGCAGGGATTCATCTTCTTGGTTCTTTCGGTAAAGTCACGTAGAAGGAAATTAATAAAATAATAAAAATAAAACATAATAAAATAATTCTCACGACGTTTCGGCCACAACGCAAGCATCCGTCTTCAGGTGGAGAACAGGTCTGTCAAGTAGACAGAGTCTGAATGGCACGCCCCAGGCTTGGAGCGACTATTTATGCTGGGATGGTGGGGCGAAGAGCGCTTTGACAAAATAATTTGCATATCAAGAGGAATTTAGCATATTCATGGGAAATGCAGATATGCAATTAGTACTACTTGTGAAATGCGTAGGAGGTTTGGCGAGGGGTGTAAAGTCATTATGCCCATGCATTATGCAGGATTAGCAGTATCAAAGGGAGGGAGTAAGGTTAGAATTAATAAAGGGAAGGAATGTTAATAATATGGCGCCGCAGCAACTAATATGCTTATTGACTATACATTGTCATATTACATTATATTTTATTCTACCCACTCAACTGTATACCACACTGCTATATATTCACTATAAAATTACGATACTATATATTACCTTATACATTGTATTAAACATTACACTTTAATACTATTTATTATATAATATGCTATACCATCATGGCTTGGCTTCGCGAACGAAGATCTAGGAAGGACATCCACGTCTTCTGCAGGCACGCTGGTGGCTGAAGAGGCCTATGCGGGACAAGCAGGTTCTGCCACAACAGCTGCAAGTATAGGTCTCATCTGGGATGGGTGCTGAGGGATCATGGTTCTTCCTCCTTCTCCTTTTGTCCTCCATACGGGCCCTGCGGGTATCTTCGAAGAAGGAGGTGGCCTGGTGGACTGTGTGCCGCCAGGAGTTGTGATCAGCTGCTTGTGTTGCCCACTGACGGTGATCGATGCAGCAAGCAGTGAGGGACTTCTTCAGGGAGTCTTTGTATCGCTTTCGTGGTGCCCCTATGTCGCGATGGCCAGAGGACAGTTCCCCATACAGCACGATCTTAGGCAAGCGGTGGTTCTCCATCCTGGCGATGTGCCCTGCCCAACGAAGCTGTGTCTTGAGGACCATGGCCAATATGCTATACACTATACCATTAACCGTCGCGTGAAAGGTACTAAGAGGAAGCAACGAACTATGTCAATGGGAGAGTGGTGATTGGAAGCTTGCAGCAGAGCAAAGAATCCATTCCCTGCGGAGAATACAAGATATATAGTCAATGTCAGTGAGTGGACTGCGGTCTGAAAGTCACCGTAAACGTGAACACAATCAGTTAAGATCCGAAATGGTTTATTACGTCCTTCCAATGATTGCTGAGCCAGAATCTATCTTCTCGGTTGAAATTGTCTCTGTGTTTGTATATGTGGATCGCCTCATGGACGAATCTCTCATGGTAGCCGGATGGCTTGCAGAGAACCTCTGTCTTGGAGAAGTCAATATCATGTGAGACCACTGAATTGTAACAGTGATCTGCCACGGCTGAGGTGTTTGTCCTACCGTGTTTCAAGTCTGCTTTATGTTCACGGATGCGGTCCGAGACATGTCGTTTGGTTTCTCCAATGTAACTGCTACCACAGAGGCAACTTAGTTTGTAAACGCCAGGGTACTGTATGTCTGGAACCACGTCTTTTACAGACGGGACCAGATCACGGATTTTATGTACTGTGTTGAATCGGACCTGGATCTTGTGTTTTACCAGGATTTTGGAGATCTTTTTTGTGACCCCAGCAATGTAGGGTAAGGTGATGGTTTTGAAAGGCTCCTCAACAGGATCCTTCTTGGTGGTTGGAGTGATGGCTTTACGGATTGTGTAGTGAGAGCCACATCTACTCAATCATATCATTGCCCGAGTAGATGTGGCTCTCAAGGGCCTGAGTCACATCGCTGCAGACGTAACAAGATCTGAAATCGCTGCAACCCTAAAAAACGCTAAGATGCCAGCTAGCAACATCAGCAAAGATGAGCGTTTTGAATTAGCTCAATTCAAAAAGAGGGATGACATTGTCATCCTCTCAGCCGACAAAGGCAATGCCACTGTCATCATGGACAAAATAGAATACAACAACAAAATTCAAGAACTACTCAACGATGGTAGCTATACAAAAATAAAGAGAGACCCCTCCAACAGCCTCGTCACTAAAACCAACAAAATCATTTCTGATTAAACCGCATTATTTGATCAAACCAAACAGTTCTCGTTGAAACCTTCTGCTGCCAGGCCACCAAGATTCTATGGCTTACAAAATATACATGAAGAAGATACACCTCTTCATCCCATTGTCTCTACTATCAACTCCCCCACTTACAAACTGGCTCGCTTTTTGTCTGAAATCCTGCGGCCTTTCACTGGAAAAACCACCTCTGCGGTACTAAACTCTACTGATCTGGTATCGACAATCAAGGGAATTTCCCTGTCCCCAGATGACCTGCTTGTCAGTTTTGATGTGGCTTCCTTATTCACCAAAGTTCCTGTACCTGACACCATCGCAATCATTGAAGACTTGGTTCAAGGACTGGATACTGGGGTACCCCCCCCTGGTGAGACACTGCTTAACCAACACATACTTCACCTGGAATGGAACTTTCTACAAACAAACTGAGGGCACCCCAATGGGCTCCCCCCTATCTCCGGTTGTAGCCAACGTTTTCATGGAGAAATTTGAGACTGATGCCATCCAGACTGCCACTCTACGCCCGACCTTATTAGGCCGTAAGGTGAACAAGGAAAAGTGGCTAGAAAATGATTTTCGTTCCCACACCTGGGAACTACTTTTTAAATGAATTTTTTTTATAGACAAAACCATTTTCGACTTTATGTTAAAAGTTCTCCACAAAATACCCTGCAGTTTTTTTTTCAAAATCCATAAATGTATATAATTGTGAATTGGAAAAAACTAAAATCTTATGCTGCTGGTTTTGTTTGTAACTTTATTTATATACATTTTAGCAACACCAAATATCTCTCAAACTGACACTTATACATGTACCTAAACACTTGAGACAGGTTTTGGTGCATTATATACTCAAGTGTGAATGTAGACCATGAAATATGGCAAATTTGTAGAAAATATGCTTCAACTTCACAGATTGGCACTAAGCAAAATTAAACATAAACATTTTAAATTTAGCAAAACTGTGATGTTTTGTACATCAAAATTTTCAGTAGGTACTGTGTAATCACAGAAAGATACAAATATAAGCACACTTTGGCCCAAGTTGGCTGAAATGACTCGAAATGCTACACTGTCCCCTTGTTTTGGAATGCTGCCAAAAAAAATTACAATTCTACCACAGATTCTTTACAGCTCAAAA